TTGTCTTCTTCATTAGCTTTTAGAATGTTATAGAATCGGGTCAATACTATTTCCTTTTCAAAAGGTGTTTTGTATTAAATATCAAATTAAGAAAAAAAAAACATTACAATTGCTATAGAGCAATAGTATTTTATAATTTCCCTAAGGGGAGTGAATAATTTTGAACTGTATCAATTTTTGGAAAAATCTCTAACTATAAATATAATAGATCAAAACTTCTAAAAATTTCACAAATTATTCAAAACTAAATACGGGATCAAGTATTTATGGTAAATTCAATAAATACTTCCAAGTATTCGCATTTCCTTAGAAAATATACAAATATTCAGTGAAGGTGAATAATTCTGTCCACAACTGTATATTTTCCTATGATACTGAGAGTAAATATTATTCCACTGTTGAAGATTATAAAAAAAAGCAAACATTTTCTTGCTCACCCTCTTTTTCCAAGATGTAGCACCATGTAGTAATTACGTTTTCACTTTCCAGTGCGTGATGCTTGCATGTGTCTTCCAGATCCTCAACCTATGAAATAAGTCAAGCTTTCTCTTTGGTTGTTCCAACTCAGTGCTAGGTTGATTTGAGAGCAACTATGATAATGATGCTTATACTGACTTACCCTAACTTCTGGATCAAGAAAAAGAAAACAGACATCCCATAACCATGTTTAAACTTCCCCAGTGATAAAGTAAGTACAAACCTTTTTTGGTTGTTCCAACCCTGTGCCAGGCTGATTTAATTGACTATTAATACAGTGTTTATACTTACTTACCATAATTCCTGGACCAATAGAAAAACGGATATACACAAGAGATATTGAGAACTTTGCTTCCCTATAGTCACCATAAAATGAAAATAAACAGTTTGTGGTAGAAACTTAAGTTTTTGTATGATCCTATCTTCTTTGTTTACATATTGAAAATGCAATAACATAAAATACACATAAACACCCAACATTGTTAACTTCCATAGCATCAACAGCTTTTGATCATGTAACATTGTTAAAATTATGAACAGTAAATTTATTTATTAAATCAACATTTAAATGAAAAACAAAATGAAATGAAAACAAAACTATATTCCTTGAAGGATAGTCAATTAGAACCACCGAGGTTGTCTATATTGCTAATAGTTCAGACAGAAATCTGTCAGGCCCAGTCAAAATTATTATAAGTCAAGAATGAATAAACGTTCTGGTCTACTGTGGCATTGCTTATTGGTTTCATATAGATAGAATAGTTGTGTTCCTCAGGCTGAAACTGAATAGGATGAGTTCTGGTGTCACCAATGATTTATATATATATATATATATATATATAAAGTAGACACTGAGGTCAGCACTGAGTAGCAATATTCTGTTTCAAGTTTGAACAGAATCCTCAAGCTTGAAGTTTGCGTCCAAACATGAAGCAAAATGTCACTAGTTGGTGTTGACATCGGTATCTATTTTTATAATTACAAATTCTCCTTCACTTATGTTGAGCACTTTTACTTATAAATATAGCATACATTTATATATATATATTTATCATTTTAAAAAACAAGACACAAAACACATTGGTTGTTCACCATAATGAAACTGACCACAATTTTGACATAGGGAATGCTACTTTGATTAAAAGAGAAAATAATCCCTTAAGATGAAAATGTCTGGAAAGTGCTCTGATTGCTAGTTCATCCATGGTAAATTTGCATTCAGGGTCTTACAATATATCACCATTCTTGGTAGATTTTCTTTTGCTAAAATGTGGGATAGTCAGGGACAAAGGTGATGGAAAGAAAAAGAAAAAGAAGACACATGCATTTGGTTAGACTGAAAAAATTTTCTTTCAAAAAAATATTTCAAAAATTGTTTCAAAAATATTCTTTCAAAAACTACCAACATCTCTTGTTCCGTGAGTATTTGTGGATGTCGTAACGTCAACAAAGCTCAGTCCAATGAGATCCTAACGGATGAAATGTGTCAAAAACTTTTTTCCAATTTGTCATAATATTTTTCTAAATATTATATCTATCTATCTATCTATCTATATATATATATATATATATATATGATATGATAAAAATATAGTTTTATAAAGTATAATATACCTATAAATATAGCATATCATATAAAACTATATTTTTTTGTATTATCCTAATGATTATTGCATGGAAAGTAATGGTTATATTCTAAATTATACTAGAGACTCATGAAGAGAAATAATTGTGGATCCGAATGTAGTTTTGGATACAAAAGGAAAATAAAAGAGTTACTCTCCTTGAACCATGAAAGCAATGATAATTGCTAGTATAATATATTAATATATATTTTTAACCTTGCATAATCTGGGAACTCTAAATCTGAGCTCAATGAAAATCGTTTCCTGCGCCTAACTTTTCTGGGGCTGTTGAATTAGCTATGAATTATTGAAATCGAATCACTGGAGTGGAGGAGTTGCTTGGACAAGCACAAACACACACACTATACTTTATATATAAGATTGATTGCTTAAATATTATTGCTTAATATTATTACATTTACTTGTCTTTATGTGTGCATTTGTAGTTTGTGAATTTGTTTATTATTTAGTTAATTTATTCCATTATTTATTTTGATTTTTTATTTGTTTGTTATTTTATTATTTTTTAATTTTTTTTTCAGTTGTTGATTATCCTATTTGTTTCGTTTAAAGTATTAGCTTAAAGTATGTCATATTATCTGGGTTGTATATCATGCATATATTTACATTATTCATGGTGATTTTTTACAAGGTACTTGTTTTTAGTTTTTGATTTTTAAGTAATGTAATAAAAATTTATTTTCATGTTTGTATTTTGAGATAAGTTTTGATTGTTTATTAATAACTAGCAGTAGAGCCCGGCATTGCCCGGGGATGTAACAGTAAGAGATAGATCAAGTATCGACCAACATAAAGACTGAAAAATAAAATTGACAAAGATTATTGTTTAAGGTTGACGGACACGCATGTCTTAATTAGTTTTTTTTTTTTTTTTTTTTTTTTTTTACGAATTGGCCAAACCCAAACTCAAACAAAAACATTGTTTTCAATCATTATGAGCCTATCGATTGAATAGAATTTTATTATAAACAATTGTGTTGTAAATGGAATTTTTAAAGCATTCTGAATGTAAAAATAAAGAAAACAGTGTGCAAGACTATAAGAAACACTACTTGCCAAAAAAAAAGTGAAGTTTTGTTGAAATCGGTTGAAAAATGTAGGAAATCCGATCCCATATATAAATGAACACACACACACACAAACAACCTGGGTTTTATAATAAGTATAACTTGATATGAGTTGTCCCCCTTTCATTCACGTGATGTCTCTTAATCGTGTTTTCAAATTGATTTTGTGCAAAAACAATTGTGTTTTTCCAATTTTTGGTGCTGTCAGAACCACCGCAAGGTAATTTTACGTAGTCCTGTGAAGTTTTGTTGAAATCGGTTGAAAAATGTAGGAAATCCGATCCAATATATAAACGTTACAGACACACACACACACACACACACACACACACACACACACACACACACACACAATCTGCGTTTTATAATAAGTAAGATCTGTGTTGATCTGAGAAGGTAATTAGAGCTATTTTCTCCTCCAGACAGAGTTTACAGTTTTTGGATTTGTTGTAGGCTGATGCTGTTTTTCTTTTCCATGGTAATTTTGGTGCATTTTAGCAAAAGTTCAGAACAGCAAATTTGCATCTGGGTTCTTACAACATTCCACATTTGTTCTTTTATCATAACGTGGGATACTTAATAACAAAGGTGATAAAAACATAAACAAAAAGAAACAAAATTAGCTAGACTACCGTGTATCACGCGATCTCATATTGTGTGACCCCCAAATTTTCACTCATAAAAAATGATTTTATCATGTAACTTGTGTTTATCATGCTAGTTCATTTTTTGAAAGATGAAATTACAATAGACTAACCTCGTTTCCTCTATCTCTTTGTCATCCTATCTTCTAGTTAAATAAGATAAAAAAGTAAAAGAGAATGAAAAAAGTATCCTTATTAACGCTATCCTTGTTACATAAACATGTACAGCCATAAACAACCGAACGAGAAACAGCTAAACATCTTATAAATGTAAACAATGAAAAAGATTCATATTTACTATGTTTGTATTTTACAATACGATACTTAATATGTGAATATTACATGCATTATTATTGGATACAGTTAAGTTAAACAACAGTTTTATCAAAATCAGGTTTATTTTAAATACAGCTGTACTTTTTGACGAAAGTAAATGGATATATAGTTTGGTCAACGGTGTAGCCAGGGCCAGCAGTACAGGCACTAATTTTATATCACGTGTATGATGCAACCCCCTTAAAATTACCTTCAAAATTAGGTCTTCAAAAGTTGCATGATATGTGACTATATATGGTAATTAAAGTTTCTGTTGGACATAAAGTGGGGGACCGGTCTTCTATTGTTAGTAAGTAATAAACTGATCCCCCAAGAATTACTACATATTATTATAATTGCAAACATACCGTATATACTTGTGTAATGGGTACTTTTTTTGACGACAGTAAATGGATATATAATTTGCTCAATGGCGTAGACGGCCAGCAGTACATATGTTAATTTTATATCTTGTGTATGATGCAACACCCTTAAAATTAGCTTCAAAATTAGGTCCTCAAAAGTCGTATGATACACGAGTATATACAGTATATGCCCAAATACATATTTAAAATAAAATTATAATCCAAAAATTTAAAATTTCAACATTCACTCATTCTTCATGCGTATGCGGAGTTACATCAACGTAAACGTCACTTTAGTCCAATGAAGTCGTAAATGACTTAAGATGTCAAATTTTTCCACTTTGTTATTGATATTTCCTATCATTGTTCTGGTATAGAAAAATTTATATATCTTTTCCCTGTATATATACATGCATTCACACACACACACAAGTAATTATTGAAGCAGAAAACACGGTAAAACAAGTTTTTGTTTCGTTTACTTACATGACCTTGCAAGATGGATTGTGTGTTGCTTATGTAGTCATAGATAATGCCAGTGTGTGAACTTGTGTATATTATTTTGGTGTTATCATCATCAGTTAAGTTCCACACAGGAATGTTCTGGTTGAAACCAAATGACCAGCCAATATTCTATGAGAGAGAAAATTCAAAACATCTGTTATGATTGGCCAACAATGACAGGAAAATGCAGTTGGGATTTGCTCGGCTAAGCGAGGTATTAAAATATATACATATATAAATATATGTTTGTATATTTCTTTTATGTATGAGGTGCGTTCAAAAAGCATCTGACCTTCGGATATAAAAAAATCAGTTTTGTACATTACACAAATTTTATTTAATCACCTTCAAAATACTCCTCTTGTGAGTTCATGCCTTTTTCTCAGTGGTTCTGTCATTGCCGGTAATATCTCTGGAATATCTTTCTGTTATGGAGCTCTGTTGTTGCTTTTCTCATAATTTCCTTTTACAAATGAAATTGCTTCCCTTTCAGTGTAGTTTTCAGATTGGGGAAGAGTCAGAAGTCATACAGTGCCAAGTCGGGAGACTAGGGAGCCCATTGAACAAGTGGTGTGTTGTTCTTCACCAGGAAAGCTTGGATTATATGGGTGGAATGAGCAAGCAATTTTCTCCAACACTCTCCACATGCATAAATCTGCCATTAAAATTAAATGAACTGATGCTGTGCCTATTCCCATTTCATGAACAATTTCCTGGATTGTTACATGATGGTCTTCCATAACTATTCACTGGACCTTCTCAATCGGCTCTTTGTTTCAGCTTGTGGATATCCTGCCTGAGGATACTTTGCTCTGCACTGAGGTGCATCCATGCTTGAAGCAGTTGTACCATTCCTTGATCTGAGTTTTGCTCATAGCTTCATCGCCAAAGGCCCGTTGAATGGTTTGAGCTTGAGTATCAGCAGGCTTTTGGCAAAACTTGATGCAATATCTCTGCTTGATGCATTTGGTCATCTTGCATGAAAACAAAAATCCAACAAGTGCACACTATATGTTTGTACTCTAGGTGTAACAGCTGGGAACTGAGGTGGTCTACTGGTGCAAAGATTTTCACATTTGCACAAGAAGGGTAGCATCACTTTGCAACCAAGGGATTTCACTCACATGGCAAAAAAAAAAAAATTAGGTCAGATACTTTTTTGAACGCACTTGTATATAAGAATGGTCTATCTTAGATACTTTTAAAAGAACTGTTGAATGCCTATAAAAATGACTGAAAAATCAAATAATTCGAGAACATGAATGGATTAATAAACAAAAGGAATTAAATTATTTCAAACTGTCAGCTTACTTATGCATTTCACTTGAAAAACATAAAGAACTTTACCGCTTGGGAAAATTGAAACAGCAAAACCCAGTTTTGAAAATTGCACTCAATGAGACAATCTGTTAATAGGTAGATAATCCAAAAAAATGTTACATTATATATATATATATATATATATATATATATATATATATAATAATGGACTCTCTCGTCGGTTTCGATGTATGACGATCTGACAACTTAATTGATTCAGTTATGAAATTTTGTGCGATAATCTTAAGTGGCATTTAAGACCCACTAGTGATTTACAAAGGAGGTCGCATATGGAGCAAGAGTGAGGATTATGAGATGAGATCACTCTTAGATTGGCTGACCTTTTAGAACTTCCTCTCGCTTCTTGAAGATGATTCAGACAAGCTGATTGAAAACCACTAAGTCCACTAAAACACGTTGATCTCTACTCTACTCGCTCCAAGGCTAAACACTCAAGGGTGTTATGAGGTATATTGACAGCTGATAATTTGCTCTTCAGCTTGTCTTTGTATCTTAGCCATGGGCATCCTACATTCCTGTAGCCCTGATCTAACTGGCTGTACGTTAGGATCTTGGGTATCCTGTCATCAGACCTTCTCAAGACATGACGTTGACTGTAACTGAGACTGTATGAGAAAAGTCTCGATTCCTCCAATGTTACACTTGTTAAACAGATTTATGTTAGACGCCCTATATTGAAGGTTAACTCCACAGATGTCACGCGGACAGCTTTTATGGAAAATAAAATATATATATATACACATGCACATACACATATAAATATAAAAGTGGACACTGAGGTCACCACCATCATGGAGTTAATACAACTGAGACCAATTTCTTTTCCCCCACTGCCTACTCAATGATAACTTAATATCTTTCTTTCCCCTACTCCCTATATGAAATCACTATTCTTAATTTCTAAACCTAAAGTTAATTTCTTCATCTTCATTTGGTTCACAGGGCTGAGGATTTGAAGCCATGTTTTATTGGCTTCAATGAAATAAAATATCACCTATGGTATTTTAAGTGTTTGTCATTATATAATAATTTTTGCTTCATCTTTTCACATAGAGCTCTCAACAGATCTATATCCTCTTGAAAAATCCATATGGATTACCAATAATTTAATTATTAATATATATATATATATATATATATATATATATATATATATATATATATATATATATATGAAAATATATAAAAATAGGAAGGAACTGGTTAGGTAAATAATCCAAAGTCCCTTAGTATTTTAGTCATTATTTTTAAAAAATAGTGCTCGATACAAAAGTAGAGCATAAATATAATTATTTATTTAAAATATGATTCCAAATCGCGACATAAGAAGTCCCATGTTTCAAAACAAGAGCGAAAACCTCAATATAATTATTTAAATTAAATTGAGTTAAAATAAGCTCTGTTCCATCTTCAAGCGACATTTTTTTTGGAATAACGTGTTTCTGAAATTTACGTGTTTTAAAAATTGAAATCAAAATTTCCATGGTAACAGCTAGGGTGAATTGTTTAAGTTGGGTAGGCGGGTGTTGGGTGTTAATAATAAGTATCAGTATAGAGTTACTTTCATAGATGTCAAGTCAGGGAAAGGTGGGGGTGTCTAAATTTGAAACGGAAGATGTATTAACCCTCGTCTAGTTTGCATGTCTATGGAGATTATCATAAGCTTAAATATTGATGCAAGAAATTTTGAGTTTTTTGTAGCTTATTGTTGCCTATCTTATCTACTCCTCCCTACCTATTGTGATGAAGGCCCAATCAAGAGTCCTCTACAGGAGCTAGCTTAAATGCCACCCAATAGAGCAACCTTTGCGCAAGTATATATATATATGTATGAGTGAACATTGAAGTCAACACTCAGAGGCAACAGGCTGTTTCATGCTAGATGCAATCAGCGGCCTGACGATTGCATCTAGCATGAAACAGCCTGTTGCCTCTGAGTGTTGACTTCAATGTTCACTTTTATATTTACATACTCTCTATCTCTGATATTGAGCACTTTATCCAATAAATACAGCACACCTTAAAACTATATATATATATATATATATATATATATATATATATATATATATATATATATATATAATTAATAACTATAAAACTTATCAACATTTTCAATTTCTCTGTAGCTACATATTTCAACCAACATGATCATAGTATTAACATTAGATGCATCCTGTTAGCATCTTCATTTAAATGCCAACAAGAACGCTGAAAGTCTGAGTTAAAATATATTTCTAAAATAAATTCACATATTCTTGGTTTAAACAGGAAATTAGGTTTACTCATTGAATACAATTTCCACAAAGACCATTCTACAAACCCTCTACAACTCTAATAATGGCAAACAACTATCCCAAAACTAGCGGATCTCTTCAGTAATATAACACATGCAAAAAAAAAAATGAAAAAAGAATTCCCCCAGAAGAGAAAATTCCTATTTCATTTGTTATTTTTTCTCTTAATGAGAAAGAACACAGACATGTGCGAAAATTCCGATTTCTAACATCGATCTCATCAATCTTCCATTTGGTCAAAAGGCCGACAAATGTACAATAAATATTATTAGTTTTATTATCAATATTATTATCTTTATTGCTTTTTTTTTATTGCTTGAATTTCTTTCATTGGCCTATTATATCTATATATGATAAAAATAAGTGGATAATCTTTCTTTACTATCTGTGTGTGGCATCTGTCAGTCTTGAGAAACCATGGATCTTAACTAATGGCCAAATAAAAACATATATAAATATTTACTTTATTATTTAAGCATTAAAATGAATTATTTATGTAAAAAAATGAAATACAATTTTCCTAACTCAAGAAAAGACTAGAATGCTCAAGAATTAACAAGAGCATATGTCTAAAAAACTGGAAGTCAAAATGGCAGCAATTGAAAGAAAAGAGGAAAAAGAGACAAAAAGGTTAAGAAGTGAATATAAAATGAAAAAAACAATGAAAAGGACAAATAATCATGACATTTTACATATATGCACATACGTTCAAACAGGTGCATAGGTGTGTGCATGTGCAAGAGGTGCATGCACACATACAACACTATGAAAAAAGAAAACTTGCACTAATGAAAAGTGCATATATAAAAAAAAAGAAAAATCAAGAAGTATAAGCAGTCAATTGCTGATACCCACTGACGAGTGGATAGAGTGATTCCTGGAGGGTTTGTGTACAAAACTCTGAAGGTAACATCAATCAGCTAAGTGAGAAACATTTTAATTGTATTTATATATATATATATATATATATATATGATAGGATAAAGAACAAATAGCAAATGTCTATCAGTCTAACATGTTTCACTTAAAGCTCCATCAGAGAAAATCAAGGTGAAACATATTAGATTGATAAATGTTTCCCATTTATTCTTTATCCTATCATTCTGTCAGATTCTGATCCATATATATATATATATATATATTCATACACGTTTCATTAAATAATATAGACAAGTGTTGTCGATTTATTTTATGTAAATTTTTATCATAACGTCTGATAAGTTTAATAACATTATAATTGAACGAAGAAAGAAATTCACAATATTGATCCATATTTTTTTAATACAATTTAAGCTTTCGGCTTACATAAGCCATTATCAAAGATGTCAATTACAACATATTAAGCAATGTACGGACAAGACAGTGATGACATTCTGTGAATGTTTACATAGATGATCTCTAAGCAACAATAAATATGTGCACATAAGATGCTAGAAACGAAAATCGCAAATTGCTTAGAGATCATTTATGTAAACATTCACGAAAGCTTAG